GTTCTCTGTTTCGCTCTCCCACCTTAGGACTCCTTCCGTTGTTACAAATGGTCACGCGCTTAGGACTTTGTGAGTTAACATTTCTATCCACCATTTGATAAGGACGAATGGATGTGAGAGCTTTATTCATATTGACACATTGGAGTCTAATATGCCCTCTTGAAAACTCGCTTAATAAATCAGAAATTTGCAAATCTCCTCGGCTGACCAGCATGACATACGATCTCTTTAAACAATGGATATAATTATAGATTATAAACATCTCTAAATTGACAAAAGTTTCGTAAAGGATTCAATCCAATGGTGAACAGAATACAAAATATTTACTGTAATAGTAGTAATTGAGGTGCGCAATATCTTGTTATTTAGAAATCTTTATATTTACCATTATTTCAGTGATGGCAACTTAAAAAAGCTGTGCGTTGACTTGAGGGCAGCACTCTCCCCGAGGTTTCACTCAAAAAGATGGGTTTGTTGTAATATGAATGACCAAGGGAGTACACCTTCACGTTTCGGAAAGGAGGCAGGGTCATTAAATGAAGTGTGTAGAATAATCGAAAATTTGTACGAGTTGCAAACATTTTGCAGTAAAAACGGGTTCTATCAGGTTTTATTTGAGCAAACTTCTTATAGGGTCGTCAATTAACGAAATGACTCAACAGGAGAAATGTTTAGGCTCTTACGTCATGCAACATGCAAAAATCGAATTTGTTGTTAAAGAAATTATTGATGATTTCCATAATATCGTGCATCTTCACTTTCAAACTTCTTGAAATATAGAAATGACGAGACTGCGGTAATAAAAATCTTCCTAGAAACCATGTCTTTATGGTTCAACTTCCAAAAGTTTTACGCTAAAAACTGTCAATATGTGACATCGTTTCTGCAGCACAGGCCCTGAACACTTCTTGAGATGTTGTTCTGAGAACGAAAATTCACCTTGCCCCGCAAGCAAGTTTGAAGTTTTTTGTAAAATCTCAGCTAAGCATTTTACCAACGACGCTCTTTCAGGAACATCGATCACTCCCTCGAAAACATTAAGCCCTTTTGAGCATAGCTTAAAAAAATTCATTTCGAATTTTGGCTCCGCACACTGTATAAATCTACTAGCTCGATTAAGGGAAAATCCACGCCTCCTTCATTTTGTCTGACAATATCATTTTACCAGTTTCTTGGAGAATTAAACTGAAGTCTTCCACACGCAACAATGAAAAAGAGGAAGCTGCAGAAGTCCTACTGACAAGGCTCCTTCGCATACCAAATCGTAGCTAGACTGAATTCTTCTTATTCTTAGTATCCGCAAGCAGTATGGATCTTTCAATTAACTGTGTGCTATTAATGTCTTGATGTAAACTGTACAAGGTACTTTGGCGTAATGAGTATATGACGTTTTCTGAACATTTATGTATCATGGTGTACTCATATTTCAACTTATTTAAGCACTCGCAAGAAAAGGAATTCTTTCAGATTCCAATTTTTTGTGAATATTGATACTCCTTCAAA